TGGGGGTGCTGCTGAGACTGCAGGAGCTGACGGTCTTGCTGGAGCTGGAGCTGCTGGGGGTGTTGGCGCTGGAGGTGCTGCTGGCGCTGGTGCTTTTGAGGGTGCTGGAGTTGGCGCTGTTGGAGCTGGAGGTGCTGCCGCTAGGGGTACTTGTGCTGTCCTTGCTGGTTCTAGAGGCGCTGCGCGGCCGCAGCCGTACTTCGTACTGCTCCCTGAGCACGTTCTTGGTCTCCCGCCCTCTACTGGTCCTGCTCCTCACTTAGAGTGTCCACAGCTTGTCCAGTCGCGGTCACAGTTACAGCCCGCCTCCCCCCTACCTGCTCCTTCTCCCTACATTGGTCCTACTGGAGGTCTTGCTGAGCGTCGTGAGCCTGCGTCTCGTCCTGCGTCGCCTCTTCGTGCTGTCGCACTAGTAGTCGTGCTCCGCGTCCACGTCCTCCTGCGATCCCAGGCACACACCTTATGGCACTGCGTCCTTCCACTACTCCACTACGTGTCCCGTTGCCATCTCCTCCGGAGTCCTCTCTTCCTGCCCTTGCTAACCTATAGTCTGACTCTCTTCATGCTACCAGTCCTACTGTCACGCGTTTCCTGGCTACTGTTGTCACTGACCCTTCCTTTGAGTCCACCGCTGCGTCTGCCTTGACTGCTGAGCTTGTCGACTTTGCTGCTCGCTAACGTCTAGACTACGCTGCTAGTCTTGTTGCTGAGTCTGAGTCTGTCTGTCCTCTGTCCGTTGGGGGTCAATGTGCTCTTAGCACGGACGTCCTTGAGGAGAGGCAGGAGGAATTCCAGTGTTTTGCTGCTGCTTTGCCTCATCTCGTGTCCACGCTGATTGCCTTTGAGGGAGACCCGGATGCATCAGACATCCCGACTCCTCGATCGTATGCTGAGGCGATCGAGGGTCCCCTATCCTCACAGTGGCAGTCAGCGATGGACGTAGAGATGGCTTCGTGGAAGTCCACAAGCACCTACGTCGACGAGGGTCCCCCACTTGGGGCAAACATCATCAGTGGAATGTGGATTTTCAGGGTGAAGCAGCCGCCGAGTTCTCCGCCTGTCATTAAAGGCGCGTTACGTGGCTCGAGGCTTCAGTCAGCGGCAGGGAGTTGACTACTTTCAGACCTTCTCTCCCACCCCGAAGATGACCACTCTTCGGGTGCTGCTGCACATAGTCGCTCAGCGCGACTACGAGCTTCACTCTCTTGACTTCAGCACAGCATTCCTGCAGGGCAGCCTGCACGAGGAGATCTGGCTGCGCTGCCCTCCTGGCTTCACTGGGTCGTTTCCCCCTGGTACCCAGTGGAGCCTCCGGCGCCCAGTCTACGGTCTCCGCCAGGCGCCCCGTGAGTGGCACGACACACTGAGGACTACACTTGCGGCTCTTGGGTTTACTCCTTCTACTACCAACCCGTCGCTGTTTCTGCGCACCGACACCTCTTTGCCACCGTTCTACATCCTTGTGTACGTCAACGACTTGGTATTTGCCACTGCTGACACTACTGGACTCGCCCACGTGAAGTCCGAGCTACAGAAGAGACACATGTGCACACACCTGGGTGAACTGCGCAACTACCTTGGCTTGCAGATCACCCGGGACAGAGCACAGCGCACCATTACCCTGACTCAGTCACACATGGTGGAACAGGTCCTTCACGGCTTCGACTTCACGTACTCCTCGCCTCAGGCCACTCCTTTGTCTACTCGCCACTCGCTCTCAGCTCTGCCTTTGGATGAGTCCGTAGAGCCGAGTGGCCCGTACCCAGAGCTTGTTGGCTGCCTCATGTACCTGATGACCTGCACACGACCTGACCTTGCATACCCTCTTAGCATCTTGGCACGCTATGTTGCTCCTGGGAGACACCGACGAGAGCACATGGCTGCAGCGAAGAGGGTGTTGCGCTACTTGTGCAGTACGTCGGGTATGGGACTAGTGCTTGGAGGGCGACGTTCAGTGGTCCTCACAGGTTACGCGGACGCTTCTTGGGCTGACGACCAGGTTACACAGCGGTCGTCATAGGGTTACACCTTTAGCCTTGGCTCCGGCTCTGTTTCGTGGCGGTCTACGCGCTCGTCTTCTGTTCTCGGCTTCAGCTGTGAGGCTGAGATCTACGCGGGGGTCATGGCTGCACAGGAGCTACGCTGGCTCACCTACCTGCTGACTGACCTAGGAGAGGCGCCTCGTTCTCCTCCAGTTCTGTACGTAGACAACAAGGCCATGCTGGCCTTGTGTCGGGAGCACAGACTGGAGCACAGAACGAAGCACATTGCTATTCGCTACTTCCTTGCTCGTGAGCTGCAGCAGCGTGGTCAGTTGCGCCTTGCTTACGTGGCCTCTGAGGCCAACACTGCTGATATCTTTACCAAGGTACTTCCGCCTTGTGATCATCAGCGCTTCTATACGATGCTAGGTCTTGTACCTACTTGGCCTCACTTGTTCACTTCTTGACCTTGCTTGTACTGTGATCTTTCTATACCTGCACTTGCTTGTTTACCTTTATATATGATCTTGCATGTGAACTGACCTTGTGGCCTTGAACTTGTGCTCGTAATGTATGGTAAGGTTGTGATCCACCCTGAGCTTGCTTTGCTTTGCTTGACTGGTCTTGTCACCTCTTGTTCTCCCCCACTTTTCCTTTGGGGGTGTGTCAAACTCATATGCTATAGTTTGTGTAGGCTGTAGTGGGGTAGACAATATGGGGTACAACACTTTTAGGTTTTCCTACTTGTACCCACCTGCTTGCTAGTTCATTCATTCCTCATTTCTCCCCATGGCGGGGCCCCTCAGCAGCGAAACGGCATACCGAATCTTCGCTGCGTCCGACTCGACGTAATTTGCGATGAAGAAGCCGTTCATCGTGAAGACCCACGATTGAACCGTCGGACCTCCACGTTGGCTTGGGTCGAAGCAGGGCGGGCGTTGCGGCTTGAGTGGCATTGTTGCCATGATGGCCTGTTCGCCACTTGTCGCCGCAAACTCCACGTGCCGACGGGCTTCATGAGGCTCCCGCAGGCTTGGTGCGACCCTGTTCCCTCCCATGCCAGGCATCGGCTGGGCGGCGCCATCACTTGCTGCGCCTAAGCGCTGTCCCATGCTGTCGTGTTGTGTTGGTGTGCCGGATGAAATGACGATCAGTTCGTCCGATTGTGCAGATGCATTTGTTGGTGCGTGTGATGTCGCGGGAGTGTTCACCGTTGATTGCTGACGCGCGGAGTCACGTTCCGCCGTGAGCGTCGCAATTTCGAGCGCCGAATCTTCAAGTTGGCGCACCAGACGGTCGAGCTGCTCCTGCGTCAATGTTGCGAGCGTGAATTCGGCCATGGCGGGGGTGTCGGACGAGCTCAGCGAGAGCCTCTGTCGTGGCCGTGCGTGCTTACGAGAGAGCAATACGAGCGGCGGCGCTGTGTCGCTGAGAGACTTCTACCCCCCCAACAAATTGAGATAATGAGGAAGCGAAGGTGTGGGTGCGGTCCGAGAAGAGATCGTAGGCTCTGAATACCAAGTGTTACGAGCGCAATTCGAGTGAGCGAGCGAGAATTGCTCTATTGAAGCAAAAGTACAAATGAGCTAAGGCATGAGCGAAGAATATATAACGAAACTACAGTGGTAACGGTAATGGACTGTGGCTGTCGCGTGACGGGCCTGGGACTGAGGTTGGGAAAAGTGTCGAAGCGGAGGCCCGGAGCGCAGGTTACCCGCCGAGCCGTGAGGTCGGGGTGCGACGTGCGAAGGTGGCGGGAGGATTGTCGATGCGAGAGTTGCGAGTGGTAACGGTGGTGACTGTGGTGCTACAGTGATGTACGCGCTGAGCGGGGACGCGAAGTAAGGAAAAGGATTTTTCCTCACACTGAAGAAAAACTAATCTCTGCAGATTCAACATATCATACATATAACTTCTATTTTTATAAACGAAAAATCGAGCCTACTCAGGTCAGGTATCAGGGCGCAGTACAATGTTTCAAATTATAACTTCGTACCGTGTGCGATGCAGTCCATCAGATTGCGATCTTTTGCGACGACCTAAGGAAACAATACGACGCAGTACGAACTTACTGGCGACTTCTGACGTCGTATAAAGTTTGACGAACTTACTGGCAACTTCCGACGACATCTGTTACCAGCCCGCATTCCGAACCGTCGGTGGTTCGAACCATCAAGCGGAACAATCGTGCCGCGCTCTTACAATCCCCTTTGTCAAACTGCACTGGTCTCTCACCTCTGTGATCTCATGAATCTCTTGCGTCTCTCAGCAGCCATAGTTCGTTCACGCAACATAAATCCCATCACGACGCTGTGTGGTCTTGCTACGCCCAGCTCCCCTATTCCCCTCTTGTCGTCGTTCGACGTCGATTTCTCAGCTCCCTCTGACAAATCGCCACCATGTTTCTTACGAGGTAACGACTTTATGCCTTCACACTAGCCAGATGTTATGCGGGCTTTCAGATTAGATTTGAGTCGCTTTCGATCTGAGTCCATGTTCGCGAATCGCCCGCTTTAGCGGATTCCAGCTTTGAATTTCGTGATCGAAGGTGCATGTACTCCTCGCGAATCGCTGGAAACTTTACCGACGACAATCGTTTACTTCGCAGTAACCATGCTCCCGAAATACGGTCTTCCTGGCATGTCTTAGTACGTGCAGAGGCATCTTTTTTAAGTCTGTGTGACAATGACCGATGCATGTTTCCGTTACACGACTCACGTGATGTGATCTGAGTTCCTTGATTGGCCATATTTAATTCAGTTAGTCGAGCTTTAGCACGAGCCACCAACCAGGGCTCGAAGTCAGTTTACTTGATTCGTGATTCAGGGTTAGTTCTTCGCTTCGGGTTTGTTCTCTTTTCGCGATTCAGTAGTGATTGTGGTCACCATCTCGAGCTGTGCAACCAGCCCGCGATGCAACCATTTCGTACGCTAAGGGATGCGCGAGCTCGTTGTTATATCTTGCACCCTAAATTTGGTATCGTCCGTTCCAGGCAAAACTAGTCCTTCATGCGTACTGATGCCGTACACGTACTATCCTGTGTACGAATTCGATGTAACGGCTGGCAGGAGCGAGTACGATCGGGGGGTGAGCACCTTCTCGCCCGAGGGGCGGCTGTTCCAAGTGGAGTATGCCATTGAGGCCATCAAGGTACACGCTCATGCCTCCTAGAATCTGTTCCTAGGGCACAACCCGATCCCCCTCCTGAGGAGCGGCTGTTCCAAATGAAATACGCCATCGAGGCCATCAAGGTACGCGCGTGTCTGCTCCCTAATAGCGAGTCTGTTGATATTGAGTGAGGAGAGATGCAGCAAGGATGCTGCCATTTCGCCCGAGGGGCGGCTGTTCCAAGTGGAGTATGCCGTCGAAGCCATCAAGGTACGATTGCTCTCGTGCTCTTCCTAATTTTCTTCGTTTGGGGTGATGGTTTTGCAATGATGGTGGTGATTCGAGGTGGTAACATGCCATGCCCTCAACGTTTATTTCCTTCACTAATTGCCTGTCGGCTACCCCATGTGTCATTCATGTCAGTCTCATATACAGCCTCACAGCCTCACATATACTCTTGTTTCTTGATCTCATTATTTCACGTCTCAGCTCAACTGCCGTTCCGTATATTTCAAGTCACGCAGTGTTATGTCATTGTATGTATGTAGTGTCACATGTCGTGTTATGTCTTATCACCTCACACGTCCTCCCCGGTGGTTGTGCATGGCTGGCAGTTGGGTTCAACGGCGGTTGGCATTCAGACCAAGGAGGGCGTGGTGCTGGCGGTGGAGAAGAGAATAACCTCGCCGCTGCTGGTATGCCTCTCCTCTCATGCGCTTGGCAAAGTACTAACCAGTATTCTCTCCTCTGTTGCTGTTGAACATTCAGATTAGGGGAGGGTGTGGCGGTGAGGGGGGGGGGGGATAGTGGCAGGAGGGCGGAGTGCTGGTGGAGGGCGGAAGTGGTGCTTGCAGTGGGGAAGAGAATAACCTCACCGCTGCTGGTATAGCTCTCCTCTCATGCGCTCGGCAAAGTACTAACCAGGAAGAGGGAGTGTCTGGTGGAGGGCGGAAGTGGTGCTGGCAGTGTATGGTGGTCTCACGCACCCCCATGTGCTGCCTATGTGTGCATGAGGTGTGTGTGTGGTCCTGTGTGGTGCTGTGCGGTAACACTGTGCAGGAGCCTCGCAGTGTGGAGAGAAATATGTGTGTGAACTCGCGCACCGGTGATGCCATGAGAGTGGCCTCACTGCGCATCTGTCCTCCCTTGTGTGCATGTGCTGTTCGGTGCTGTGTGTGTGGTGCCGTGTGGTTCTGTGCGGTGGGACCATGCAGGGGTCTCACAGTGTGGAGAAGATCATGGAGGTGGATGGATTGGCACACTGGCAGAGAGGGTGTTTTTGAGACGTCTCAAACACACACTGGCAGAGAGGGTGTTTTTGAGACGTCTCAAACACACACTGGAAGAGAGGGTGTTTTTGAGACGTCTCAAACACACACTGGAAGAGAGGGTGTTTTTGAGACGTCTCAAACACACCGGTGATGCCATGAGTTGCCTCACAGCCCATCTGCCCTCCCTTGTGTGCATGTGCTGTGCGGTACCAGGTGGTGCTGTATGATGTTGTCTGGTGCCCCGCGGTGCTGTGTGGTTCTGTACGGTGAAAGACTTTGTAGGAGCCGGGCAGTGTGGAGAAGATCATGAAGGTGGATTCACACGTCGGTACTGACACCCATGAGTGGCCTCACTGCCCATCTGCCCTCCCTTGCATGCGTGTGCTGTGCGGCTCCCTGTGCTGCTGTGCGGTGCTGTGTGGTGCTCTGTGGCTCTTTGTGGTACAATGCGGTGCTGTGCGGTGGGACCATGCAGGAGCCGCGCAGTGTGGAGAAGATAATGGTGGTGGACTCACACATCGGGGCTGCCATGAGTGGCCTCACAGCCCATGTTCCCTTCCTGTGTGCGTGCATGTGCTGTGCGGTTCTCTGTGGTGCTATGCATTGATATACGGTGCTGTGGGTTGTAATGCGGTCCTGTGCGGTGGTGATGCCCTGCAGGAGCCGCGCAGTGTGGAGAAGATCATGGAGGTGGATTCACACATCGGAGCCGCCATGAGTGGTCTCACAGCGGATGCACGCACTCTCATCCACCACGGCCGCATTCAGACTCAGGTGGGGCGCACTGAAACGCAGGTGTGAATGATTGAGACCCATGTGAGTTGTTGAGGCGCTTCAAAGGCACATCGGATCAGCCATGAGTGGTCTCACAGCAGATGCACGCACTCTCATCCACCATGGCCGCATTCAGACTCAGGTGGGGCGCATTCAGATTCAGGTGGGCAGCATTCAGATTCAGGTGGGCAGCATTCAGATTCAGGTGGACAGCATTCAGATTCAGGTGGGCAGCATTCAGATTCAGGTGGGCAGCATTCAGATTCAGGTGGGCAGCATTCAGATTCAGGTGGACAGCATTCAGATTCAGGTGGGCAGCATTCAGATTCAGGTGGGCAGCATTCAGATTCAGGTGGGCAGCATTCAGATTCAGGTGGGCAGCATTCAGATTCAGGTGGGCAGCATTCAGATTCAGGTGGGCAGCATTCAGATTCAGGTGGGCAGCATTCAGATTCAGGTGGGCAGCATTCAGATTCAGGTGGGCAGATTCGAAGTCTCCTTGTAAGGATTCACTCATCAGCCTCACTTCGGGGAATGGTCTTACTCTTCTTTACCAATGCTGCAATCAGACTTAGCTGAATCTTTTGCTCGACCTTGAAATCATTCAGACTTGGGCTGGCCGTGCTATTTCTGCCTGCATTTCCCGTCAGCTTTGCCCCATACTGACAATCATTGCTCGTTGTCTCTTACCTCTTCATCCATCTGCACCTCTCTCCACTCCTCCCAATCGCACCGCTTCTCGTACAACGTGCCCATGCTGGTAGAGTTGTGCACTCAGGCTTTCTGCGACCTCCTTTTGCCGTTTGGGGAGTGCCTATACCCCTCTTCACCCCTCCTCACCGCTCCTCACCACTCCTCATGCCCCCATACCCCACAGTCGCACCGCTTCTCGTACAACGAGCCCATGCTGGTAGAGTCGTGTACTCAGGCGCTCTGCGACCTCTCCCTGAAGTTTGGAGAGGGGGGAGATGATAGCATGGTGAGTTGGTGACATGGCACTCGTGGGTACTGGGAGCAGTGACTGCATTGCAGTGTGGCTGGACAGAGTCACTGTGGCTGGCCGGATGGTGGCAGTGGGGACGGGCAGTGAAGGCCCATGCGGGTGAAGTCGTGTACGCAGGCTCTCTGCGACCTCTCCCTAATGTTTGGAGAGGGGGGAGATGACAGCATGGTGAGTTGGTGGGTGGGGTTAATGCCGTATGGATGAGTTTGCGGTGTGGCAGTATGGATTAGTCAGTGGCCGTGTGGCAGTATGGTGGTAGGGAAGGGTAGGCAAGGGCTGTGCTGGTATGGTCGTGCACCCAGGCTCTCTGTGACCTCTCCTTGCAGTTTTGAGCAAGGGGAGATGGCAGCATGGTGAGCTGGTGGGTGGGTGGAGTGTTGATGGAGTCGTGCACTCCACCCACCCACCAGCTTGGTGAGTATAGGCACTCTGCAAATCCTGCCTTGAAGTTTCGAGAGGGGTGGAATGAACGACAACATGGCGAGTTGGTGGGTGGGTTTCATGCACTACGGATGAGTCTGCGGCCCTAGTGTCGTGGTATGGGTGGTCTGGGCAGTAAAGGGCTGTGCTGGTGGAGTCATGCACCCAGGCGTGTTGATTTTACTTTTGAGATTTTTCAAAAGTAAAATCGACATGGCAGTAAAGGGCTGTGCTGGTGGAGTCGTGCACGCAGCCGCGCTGTATGTGACCTCTCCTCATGAAGTTTGGAGAGGGAGTTGGGGGGGTAACGACAGCATGGTAATGGAGAGTGCGGATAAGGATGGGGAGGAGGACTGGGAGGAGCAAAAGCAAGGGTGGCAAGGAGGGAAGTAAGGGTAGAAAAGAGGGGGTGCAGGTGGGGGATGAATTGCGTTGGCTGAGGTGTGGCAGCGATGGCTTGCTAGCTAGCAGCTATTAGGCGGTGCCATCTGTCAATGGCGGCACGACACCTGGCGGGTGTGCAGGCCCTGGCAGCTACCTGTCGTCTATCGCCGGCTTTTGTGTGTGGGCCTATCTGACTTTTATGGCCCGCGTGCTAGCGATGCCTCTGGCAAGGCTCTTGCCAGTGCCCGCCGTATTGCCTTCTGTAACCTGCCTGCCTCCTCCTCCCACACTTCCCTTCCTCCTCCGTTGTTGGCTCGTTTGTTTCCCTGTGCCTCGCTCTTGTTCCCGAGGGGCAATGCGGTGAGGGAGATGGTGGAGGCGGGCAGTTTGGGCTCGGCCAAGGTCATCGTCCGGCAGGTTCAACCCCAGGCAATGCAAATCCTTCAATCCCTGTCGCACTCACCACCACCACACTCCCCTCATGTTCTTGATTCCATCCGTCTCAACTTTCCCAATTCCATCCCTCATATGGCTGCAGCTGCTCCTGCTCGTGTCTCTCCTCATGTCTCATCCCGAGGCTTAGAGCCAGGCTTAGCTCAACGCAAGCTCCCCTGGCTGAGCCACGGTCGTAGCCTCGGCAACCAGAGCAGGCATTGCCGAAGCTGCTTCCCGGAAGAGCCCCCGAACCAAAAGACTTGTCAAGAGGGAGTGTTGAGCTAAGCCTGGTCCTAAGCCTCGAAATGGAACATGAGGAGAAGCACGAGCAGGAGCAGCACGAGCAGGAGGAACTGCAGCCACATGAGAGATAGAATCGGGAAAGTTGAGACGGATGGGATCAAGAACATGAGGGGAGTGTGGTGGTGGTGAGTGCGGCAGGGAGTGGGGGGTTCGCACTGCTTGGGGCTGAACTTGTCAAGCCATGACCTTGGCCGAGCCCAAGCTGCCATCCACCCTCACAGCATCTGTTTCAGAACAGCACAATTGCTTCTCTGTATGCTGTCTTTCCCAAATTCTCTTCCCTTCGTTCCTCCTTTTCATGTTACATTTCGTAACTTCTCCTCTTTCCCTCTCACTTACCCGTCACGGCACGGTCCTCTCTCCTGTGCTTCACTATCTCTCCCTCCCTCTCCCCCGTCCATCTGATGGGTCCATCAGAGCCGCCCATTTGGAGTGGCTCTGCTGATTGCCGGAGTCGACAAATACGGCCCTTGCCTGTACGTCATATGTCCATGTGCATATGTCCATGTGCATGTGCCTATCAAGTTCTTGTGGTATATGTGCTGTATGTTCATGTTTGTTTGTTATAGTACGCTACGCTGGAGTTCACAAGTACAGTCTTTCCCTGAAGGTAGTGTGTCCACTTGCATGCATTTGCCTGTGTGCATGGATAATCGCACATGAGTGTGCCGTTGTGAATGGATGTGCGTTTCAACATGCATGTGCAGTGCAGTGCACATATAATCAGCCTTTGTACGTGCATTTGTCCACGTGCACGTTTCTTGTCTGTCGTTCTTTTTTGTTTGTACGAATAAAAATTCCTTGTAGTCAAGACTTGTAGTACGACTCTCTTGCTCACAAGCTTTGACCACGGACCCATCAAACACGTGCAGGTGCTAATAATCCGAGGCCATTAAAGTGTTATTCCCATACTCTCACACGTCCTCACCATGTGCACCAATGCTATTCCTCTTCTGCCCACCAGGTACTACCACACAGATCCTTCAGGGTGTGCGCTATGATGCCAGGGCCACTGGAGCTGCTATTGCCACTCGTGCTGTCCTCAAACTTACTTTCATGCCTCCTCACCACGTGCGCCACATGCTGCCCCCCCTTGCATGCACCTGGTGCCACACGAATCCCATCCGGCATGTTTGTTTGCCACGATGCCAAGGCCAGTTTGGGGAAAATCACTCCCCACTCAACATGTTCTCCGCCTCACAACCCCCTTACACACACCAGGTACCACAAGGACCCATAAAGCACGTTCCTGCGCTAAAATGCCAACGCCATTGGGGCTGTCATTGTTCCCACATTCTCTCCCCATACTATCAACCCTCACACCATGCTCTCCCCATGCTATTCCCCCCTCCTTACACAGGTACCACACGGACCCTTCAAGCACGTGCCAAGGCCATTGGGGGGCAAGACCCCACCCAACATGTTCTTCCCCCGCTACCACCCCCCTTACCCCTCCCTCCCCCCCAACCCTGTTCGCACCAGGTACCACACAGACCCTTCAAGCACGTTTGTGCGCTACGATGCCAAGGCCATTGGGGCTGGCACTGAGGGTGCTGTTACTGATTAGAATGCCACTCTTTGGCCTCCCATTGCCCCCACCCTTCTCCCTGCTTGCACCAGGTACCACATGGATCCATCAGGCACGTTCGTGCGTTACGACGCCAAGGCCATTGGGGCTGGCACTGAGGGTGCTGTTACTGATTGGAATGCCACTCTTTGGCCTCCCATTGCCCCCACCCTTCTCCCTGCTTGCACCAGGTACCACACGGGTCCATCAGGCACGTTCGTGCGTTACGATGCCAAGGCCATTGGGGCTGGCACTGAGGGTGCTGTTACTGATTGGAATGCCACTCTTTGGCCTCCCGTTGCCCCCACCCTTCTCCCTGCTTGCACCAGGTACCACACGGATCCATCAGGCACGTTCGTGCGTTACGATGCCAAGGCCATTGGGGCTGGCACCTTAGTTGGTACTTTACGTTTTTTTGGGTCACGTAAACGTAAACTTACGCTTGAGTTTACCTTTACGTTTTCTTACGCGTAATTTTACGTAAAGTCGCACGGGCAGGGCAAAAAAAGGTTTTTTTGCCCGCGAAACGAAAAAATCTGACTGATATGAGGTGGGAGAGGCTGCTACATGTTTGTGTAGATTTGGGGCATCTGTAAGTTGATGTAATAATGTGCTAACATGCTTGGGCGTAGAAGAACCAAGCTAGTGATAGATTAGGCGCTTCCCATGCAGCCACTTAGTCCGATGATTTCTTATATTTCCGGGCAGTTAGAACTGTTTCTAGCTGACCGTAAACGTAAAGCCATTTTTAGCCCACGTAAGTAAACGTAAGTTTACTACGTAAAGTCACGTAAACGTAAACCACCGTAAACGTACAATACCAACTAAGGCTGGCACTGAGGGTGCTGTTACTGATTGGAATGCCACTCTTTGGCCTCCCGTTGCCCCCACCCTTCTCCCTGCTTGCACCAGGTACCACACGGATCCATCAGGCACGTTCGTGCGTTACGATGCCAAGGCCATTGGGGCTGGCACTGAGGGTGCTGTTACTGATTGGAATGCCACTCTTTGGCCTCCCATTGCCCCCACCCTTCTCCCTGCTTGCACCAGGTACCACACGGATCCATCAGGCACGTTCGTGCGTTACAATGCCAAGGCCATTGGGGCTGGCACTGAGGGTGCTGTTACTGATTGGAATGCCACTCTTTGGCCTCCCGTTGCCCCCACCCTTCTCCCTGCTTGCACCAGGTACCACACGGATCCATCAGGCACGTTCGTGCGTTACGATGCCAAGGCCATTGGGGCCGGCACTGAGGGCGCACAGGCGAACCTACAGGACAGCTACAACAAGGTGAGTGCGTGCTGTGCTGTGAACCATTATTCGTTTTGTTTCCATTTGGCTGCGAAATAGCCCCTATGTAAGCTCACTGTCATTATGATGCCAAGGCCATTGTTGCTGGCACTGAGGGTGCTCAGGCCAACCTACCATGTGTGTACGCATGTGTGTGACCATGTCATGTGTGTGACCGTGTCATGTGTGTGACGATGTCATGTGTGTGGCCATGTCATGTGTGTGACCATGTCATGTGTGTGGCCATGTCATGTGTGTGGCCATGTTATGTGTGTGACCATGTCATGTGTGTGACCATGTCATGTGTGACCATGTCATGTGTGTGACCATGTCATGTGTGTGACCATGTCATGTGTGTGACCATGTCATGTGTGTGACCATGTCATGTGTGTGGCCATGTCATGTGTGTGACCATGTCATGTGTGTGGCCATGTCATGTGTGTGACCATGTCATGTGTGTGACCGTGTCATGTGTGTGACCATGTCATGTGTGTGGCCATGTCATGTGTGTGACCATGTCATGTGTGTGACCATGTCATGTGTGTGACCATGTCATGTGTGTGACCATGTCATGTGTGTGACCATGTCATGTGTGTGACCATGTCATGGGTGTGACCGTGTCATAGATGTGACCGTGTCATAGATGTGACCGTGTCATGTGTGTAACCTTGTCATGTGTGTGACCGTGTCATGGGTGTGACCGTGTCATGTGTGTGACCATGTCATGTGTGTGACCATGTCATGTGTGTGACCATGTCATGTGTGTGACCATGTCATGTGTGTGACCATGTCATGTGTGTGACCATGTCATGGGTGTGACCGTGTCATAGATGTGACCGTGTCATGTGTGTAACCTTGTCATGTGTGTGACCGTGTCATGGGTGTGACCATGTCATGTGTGTGGCCATGTCATGTGTGTGACCATGTCATGTGTGTGACCATGTCATGTGTGTGACCATGTCATGTGTGTGACCATGTCATGTGTGTGACCATGTCATGGGTGTGACCGTGTCATAGATGTGACCGTGTCATGTGTGTAACCTTGTCATGTGTGTGACCGTGTCATGGGTGTGACCGTGTCATGTGTGTGACCATGTCATGTGTGTGGCCATGTCATGTGGGGCAGGACATGAGCCTGGAGGAAGCAGAGACGCTGGCACTGTCCACTCTTAAGCAAGTCATGGAAGAGAAGGTAGGACGGGCAGGAAAGGGGAGAGAACATAGGCAGGGCACACGAGTGGAGAGAAGGTAGGGAGGGCACGGGAGGGAGAAGGAAGGACAAGAAAGTAGGGTAGGGAAGGTATGTGACCATGTGTGACAGGACATGAGCCTGGAGGAAGCAGAGACGCTTCCGCTGTCTACTCTCAAGCAAGTCATGGAAGAGAAGGTAGGGCGGGCAGGGGAGGGGAGAGAAGGTAGGCAGGGCACGTAACGATGTGCATAACATGAGCAGCCTGGAGGAGGCAGAGACGCTCGCACTGTCTACTCTCAAGCAAGTCATGGAAGAGAAGGTAGGGCGGGCAGGGGATGGGGGAAGGCAGGATGAGAAGGTGGGGTGGGCATTTGGAGAAAGAAGGGCGGGGGGGGGCGGGGGAGGGGGGAGAATATGGAGGGCAATGAAGGAAGAGAAGGCTGGGAGGGGAAGGTTGGGAGGGCGAGAGATGGTGGAGTTACGTCCTTTCTAAGCTCCATGTGTGGTGCAAGTGTTACATGCTCTCGTATTCTCCAAGCTCCTAATGCTTGTTACATGATCTCGCCTTTGATTTAATGTTATCTTTCCTTGAGCTTTCTTTTCCGCGTGCTTTTTTACCTGCAGGTGTCAGCTACGAATGTAGACATCGCAAAAGTTGCACCAACATACCACCTGTACACCAAGGAGGAGGTCGAGCAAGTTATTGCACGAGCTGCATAACCTTTCTAATAATAACATTAATCATACAGTGTAATCGAGTATATTGAGGGTACATTTGGACCTTGACATTGTTAGAGACTAGGAACGGAGTTTACGAAGATTAGGTGCCTAAAATTCTCAAAATCGTTGGCTTAGAATTTTGGACAGAAAATTCGCGCTCACAAGAAACGCCGTCAACGAAAAGTTCACTGTCAAAATTTCACCAAACTTAGATATGTCGTAACTCTACTCCGTGGCTACAATTCCCAAGTTGAATCATACAAAACGGTGAAGTATTTCTTGAGTTATCAATTTCGGCGCACTAGGGGGTATGCTGCCATGAATCTTAACTCAATCACTAAGTTCTCACACAAGTTCTCAATTACTACACAAGAGAGTTAGAGTAGCACTAAACCAGGTGGAAGGGATGAGGAGGATGAGATGCAAGGTCCCAAGAGTGTCCCCAACCAAGGAAACCCATGCCACACAATTCCCTTCCCCATAGACAACCCAACTTTGACCTTTGTCACTATCCCAACCTCCACAATCCACCTCAACCCAACTTGGCCACATTTTCCAACCTGGTTTGGCTTCTCTTAACAACTTGGCAGCATCTACAGTGATGGGGACGAATTTCTCAACCCCCAAAAGTCTATACCCCTTATGGAGTCAACCCCACAACTTCCCATCGTCTCCACAATCAAATATGACAAGCATACGAACTCCAACGTTCGTAACTTTCTTGTTCGTGCTCCGATTGAAGCGATACTTGGTTCGTCGGAAAGCTCTTGAGCAGAGGAGTCACTTCAGATATCTGCTCAAGCCAAATAACATTCACACACACTCAGAAAAACCAAACCGCACAAAATACAAATTCTTGCACACGCTCACACCACGCATGCAACGCACGAACATATGATGGGAGGCAGAGAGACGTGAATGCAGATGATAGCATCACATAACAAACTCCCCCTCTGGCTGCCTACCATCATCCCACATGCCATAGCTCAAGCATGCACCCTCAATGCGCACTCATCCCAGCAAGTTCCATTCACTTCCAACACTCATCCCAATAGACAATCATCTCCTTCCAACATCCCACTTCCAACATCTCCTCTTTGCTCAAATCTGCACCACCCTCTGCAGCCTCTGTTTCGAAACACTATCCACCAAACCATCTCATTGCAGCTCCATATCAATACGCTATCTCATCCTCATCCATCTGTTCAGCCACACTTCCAGCCGGTACCACACTTGGCATGCCACGGCTCGCATAGGTCAGCCGGTTAGGAGGGCGCACATCCCTCCTAGGACGGTTAGCCGGACGTGCGGCACCTTGTGGAGCACCTTGTTGCTGCTGCTACTGCTGCTGCTCCTCCACCTTAGGTTCTCCCCCATCCTCAGTCACCCCAGAGATCTCCTCCTCTGAGACAGTGACCTGCACTTGTCTCGAAGGCCGCTGCACCTCATCGGCCTCAATGATCAGTGGTGTTGTAGGAAGCTTCTGCTGCTGCTGCTTCTACTCCTTATAGTACAAGGATTCAAGGAACTTCACATCCCTTGACACAGTCAGCTCCTGGCTGGTCAAATCCCATATCAACCAGCCCTTGTGATCCTTAGCAAGCCCCAAGTGCACACCCCATCTTCCAGAAGCTTCCAGTTTTCCCCTCTTCTCCCTAGGCACATGAAACACCACCATGCACCCAAAGGCTATCAGCATGTTGACTACTAGTGCACTCCCATACCACTTGGTGTAGGGGACCCACTCCTTTTCCCCCACAGTCGCCAGCACCCTGTTCTTCACAAGGGCGACCTGCCGCAGTGCAGTCACCCAAAACGGATCCGGCAGCCCTGCACGCCCAAGGAGAGTGCGAGCACCTTCCTGCAGGGTCCGGTTGAACCGCTCAGCCACGCCGGTTTGCTGAGGGTTGTAGGGCACTGTAAGCTGATGCTGGATCCCCTTCTTCTTCAGCACCGCCTCAAAATCAGCGCCAATAAATTCTCCTCCGTTATCGGTGCGGATCACCTTCACCTTATGACCGCTCTCCCTTTGAGCTCTCGGCATCCACTCCTTGAGAACAGTCGCTGCCACCTCCCCCTTAGTCTTCAAAGGGTACACCCACACCGCACGCGTGTGGTCGTCCACAATCGTCAAGAAGTAGCGGCTGCCCGAGAGATAAAGGGCCCTCGTGGGGCCCACCACATCCATGTGCACAAGTGCAAGTGGTGCCTTGGCTGGTCCTGTGCTGTTGCTGAAGGGAAGTTTCGTAAATTTGGTCTCAAGGCAGGTAGGGCAGCTCCCAATCTCCTTTGCTCCCCCCTTCAACTCCAGCCCCTTCAAGCACCCATCCTTTACCAGCTTCTGCAGCATAGGAATGTTCACATGGCACAGCCTCTCATGCCACGTCTCCCAATCAGCCTCACCACTCCCAGATGAAGCCTTTGCCCATGCAGCTGTCGCATCCACACCAGCAAGCACCTCACCATGTGGCTGCTGCACCTTCTTGACTACATCCAGGGCCCCAGCAGCTGGTGAAGTCTCCTCTCCTCCCGCAGTTGCTTTAGCCGCTGCCGTTGCCTTTGCCGTTGCTGGTGGTTTCCCCTTCCAAGGGATGATGGGCAGCTGCCACAGGTCCTTGATGCAGCTGCTCTTCTCCTCCAAGTTCCACAGCAGCAACTTCCCAAGCTTTGCAAGGCAGCTGGTTGGGCCGAAAGTCAATTTGGCCTTGCTTTTCTGCAGCCGGCGCACGGAAAGAAGGTTAGCGGACAAACCTTCAACCAACAGCACATTCCCCAGCCCCACAAGCCCCCCATTGGCTTCCATTACCTTGGCATTCCCCACACCAATCACAGGGAGCAAAGCACCTGAAGCGGCAGCCACAAACTTTATATTCCCAGGGGGCTTTACCTCGTCAAGCAAATCTGCCCGTGGGGTCATGTGACTTGTGCAACCTGAATCTATCACCCAATGGGTGAGGGGGTGCATAACAACCTTCCCAACTGAACCCACATCACCCCCACTCCCTTGCACATCCTCAACCATGAGGAACATCTCAGGGTCGGCTTTACCTTGTGCACCATCACCTTATGCTTCTGAACCTTGCACAGCGCCACCTTATGCACGTTCACCACTTGGCGGCTTCATGCTTGGGGGCGCCCATCCCTTAGGCCGGCTGAAACACTTGAACCACGGGTGTCCAGCCTTATTGCAGTACCAGCATGCACCCTCCATTCGGGTGATCCCCCAGCCACCAGAGCTCCCATGCCCCTCATTATAGTCACCTCAGCCTCTCCCTCTGCCAAAGCCTCTCCCACGGCCTCGGCCTCTCCCTCCCCCTCTTCCTCAGCTGCCTCCTGCAGCTCCATACCCGTAAGCAGTTTTCTTGGCAGCACCACCTCCCGTGTGGCGCCTGCGGAAGTCCTCCTGCAGAATCCGCTGCCGTAGCCACTCAGGCGTCCATTTGTCCTGCTGAACGTTGAGGGTGGAGATGAGGTTGTCCCACGAGTTGTCGAGCACCGAGATGATCTTGGTGCACTGTTGCATCTGCGACACTTCGCTGCCCGCCGCTGCCATCCTCGCATAGGTGTCCTTGATCTTGTCAAGGACCGGTTTCACATCATTTCCCGATTTCATGGAGAGGGCAGCCAACTCCTTCTCCAACACAATCACCATCGGCAGCGTGTTGGGCTGAATCACGTCGCGTGGCAGCTTCCATGCCTTCGGTCCGGAATCATCCAACTCCACCAAATCCTTGATGTGCTGAAACATGTCGTTGTTGACCGATTGGAGGATGAGGTCGTACAGCACCGCGCTCTTCTCAATCCACCGATCGCGGGCATCTCCTTCCCCGAGCATCTTCTCCTCTCCCATAGCCAATTTCAGCAGCTTGTAGCGCTTGGAGGCGCTCCGCATCCGCCCGCTCCATTCCTCATAGTTGGAGCCATCCAAAGCTTCAATCTTGGATGGTGGTGGCTCACTCCTCTTCTCAGCTGCATCTCCACTCCCTTGATTCATCTCCTCTGCTCCCAATCAGAGGTTTTAGCTCCCCCCTTTGCTGGTCATAATGTAGATCCACACAATCTTCACAAGTGTCGGCGCCAACGAAATTTCGGCAGAGTTTCCCCTTAGCGGAAGTCACATCCAACCTCCAGAACTCCACTTAGGCACGCCCACAGGCCATGGTGGGTCTAGGAGGGTCTTCACACTTTAGTAGACTCTCCACAAGGTCCTTAATCAGCTCTGATACCACTTGTTAGAGACTAAGGACGGAGTCTACGAAGACTAGGTGCCTAAAATTCTCAAAATCGTTGCCTTCGAATTCTGGACTGAAAAGTCGCGCTCACAAGAAACGCTGTCGACAAAACGTTCACTCTCAAAACTTCACCAAACTTAGATATGTCGTAGCTCAGCTCCGTGGCTACAATTCCCAAGTTGAATCATACAAAACGGTGAAGTATTTCTTGAGTTATCAATTTCGGCGCACTAGGGGGTATGCTGCCATGAATCTTAACTCAATCACAAAGTTCTCACACAAGTTCTCAATTACTACACAAGAGAGTTAGAGTAGCACTAAACCAGGTGGAAGGGATGAGTACGATGAGATGCAAGGTCCCAAGAGTGTCCCCAACCAAGGAAACCCCATGCCACACAATTCCCTTCCCCATAGGCAGCCCAATTTTGACCTTTGTCACTATCCCAACCTCCACAATCCACCTCAACCCAACTTGGCCACACTTGCCAACCTGGTTTGGCTTCTCCCAACAACTTGGCAGCATCTACAGTGATGGGGACAAATTTTCCAACCCCCAAAAGTCTATACCCCTTATGGAGTCAACCCCACAACTTCCCATAGTCTCCACAATCAAATATGAAAAGCATACGAACTCCAACGTTCGTAACTTTCTTGTTCGTGCTCCGATTGAAGCGATACTTGGTTCGTCGGAAAGCTCTTGAGCAGAGGAGTCACTTCAGATATCTGCTCAAGCCAAATAACATTCACACACACTCAGAAAAACCAAAC